AGGGTGATAACAGAAACCGTTCTTTGTTAAGTCTCCATGACAAAGAAGGGTAGTTTCTTATATATATATATATATATATATATATATATATATATATATATATATATATATATATATATATATATATATATATATATATATATATATATATATATATATATATATATATATATATATATATATATATATATATATATATATATATATATAGTAAAGGGGGGTTTATTGCCTAAAACCAACTGCCTGGTTTAATTTGCGTAAGTCACAGTCATGAGCTCATGTCTTTGTCGTAGTCGTCTTGTAGCTGCTTCGACTAGATACTGTCTCTCTCCTTCTTCCCCATTACATTTGCCCCGATGGTGAAGAGGAGCCATCCTGGCGGCTCGTAGCGAAGCAAGCACAAGGGGATCACAGTAAGGTTTTAAGCGGCTGATGTGGACTGTCTCACGACCACGGCATAGTCTGTCATCGGCAGGTGTCACTGGTTCGACGACGTAGTTGCCCCGTGATGGGCATTGAACGATGCGGTACGTGCCATTGTACTTGGGTGCAAACTTTTGGGAGAGAGCGGGGGACTGGAATGAAACCGAAAGCCATACAAATGAGCCTGCGGGGAAGATGTGAGCAGGCTTCTCCTGGTCAAGTCCTTCTTTTTGGACACCTTGTACGACGGACGTAAATGAACGCACTAATTGGCGGCACTCTTTGGCACACTGAACAAGTTCGGAAACTGGGCGGTATTCTGAAGTATCTGGGCGGTAAGTAAGTATCGTGTCAAGCGTAGAAGAGGGCTCACGTCCGTACAGTAGAAAAAAAGGTGAAAACCCAGTAGTTACTCTCTTGGCCATAATATACGCATACATCACGATAGGGAGCAGCACTGAGTCCCAGTTAGAATGATGGGAGGATATGTACATAGAGAGCATATCACCGAGTGTACAGTTGAAGAGCTTAGTCAAACCGTTTGTCTGTGGGTGATAGCTTGTAGTGGTGCGATGAATAATAGTGCATTTACTCAGAAGCTCCTGGACGACTTTCGATAGAAACACACGCCCACGGTCGCTAAGCAGCTCAGGTGGCGCGCCATGGCGAAGGACAAGTCTACGCAAGACCAACAAGGCGACATCAAGAGCAGCAGCTGCTGGCAAAACGGCGGTTTCAGAGTAACGGGTTAGATGGTCAACGGCCGCAATAATCCAGCAATTTCCAGCAGGAGAAAACGGTAGTGGGCCGTAGAGGTCGATGCCGATTCTATCAAATGGCCGAGCTAAACACGGCAATGGTTCCCATTCGCCGGAGTCATCACAAGTTGTTTTCCGTCGCTGACACTCAGTGCAGAAACGTATGTACTTGTGAACGTACGAGTACATTCCACGCCAGAAAAATCGCTGGAGAAGCCGGCCGTATGTTTTCAAAACGCCAGCGTGGGCGTTTTGAGGGTCTGCGTTGAAGTACACGCAGATGTTGGAGCGCTAACGGCGAGAGATAACAAGAAGCTATAATTGCTACCATCAGGCTGATAGTTGCGATGGTACAACATAGCATCCCGTATCGCATAGTGGAGAATTCTCTGATGTAGTGCATGAGGTAGACGCTGGCGTGGTGTCACCGACGACGAGGAGAGAACGTCGATGAGCGAGCCTATCCAAGGGTACTTGCGTTGTTCTGAAGGCATGTCAGCGGTATCGATGCTGTCGATGGTAGCTTCGCTAGAGAAAACAGGCACAACGGCTGAAGGAAGAGGCGAACGAGAAAGAGTGTCTGCGTCGGTATGCTTGCGGCCTGAGCAGTAAATGATGTGAATATCAAATTCCTGTAAACATCACGCCCAACATCCAAGCCGGCCCGAAGGATCCTTCAATGAAGTGAGCCAACAGAGTGAATGATGATCTGTAACGACATCAAATGGGCGTCCGTATGAGTAAGGACGAAATTTTTGAAATGCCCAAAGAATGACCAAACATATTCCTTTTCGTTAACCGAGTATTTGTGCTCTGCCTTGGTTAGGGCGCGACTGGCATACGCAACTACAGAGTCCAAGAAACCAGGCTTGTGTTGAGCAAGGACTGTGTCAAGTTCTATGCCACTAGCATCCGTGTGCACCTTAGTGCGAGCAGTCGGGTCGAAGTGGCGTAAAATAGATGGTGAAGTAAGGAGATGACGTATTGTTGCAAAAGCGTCATCGCATGCTGACGACCAATCAGAGAAGTGTCTATCGCCAGTGATCAGCTGTGTCAATGGTGCGATTCTCGAAGCAAAGTTCTTTAGAAAGCGACGAAAGTATGAGCACAGTCTGATGAAGCTGCGAAGCGCTTTCACGTTCGTAGCCTTCGGGAATTCAGCGACAGCACGAAGCTTCTCTGGCTCTGGTAGGACGCCATGTTTTGAGACAACGTGGCCAAGTATTAGGAGCTTCCGAGCTCGAAAGTGGCACTCCTTGATGTTTAGTTGAAGGCCTCCTCTCGTGAGGCAGCTCAAGACTTCGCTGAGACAATGGAGGTGGCTCTGTAAATCAGGAGAGAAAACAACGACATCATCTAAATAACATAGGCATGTTTCCATTTCAACCCATGCAAGACGCTATCCATCATCCTTTCGAATTTTGCTGGCGCATTACAAAGGCCGATGGGGATTACATTCAATTATTAGAGCCCATCGGGCGTCACAAAAGCAGTTTATGGGCGATCTGATGGTGCCATGGGGACCTGTCAATAACCGGACCGTAGGTCTAGTGATGAGAAGAATTAAGCGTCTTGCAAGTAGTCCAGGGCATCACAGATGCGTGGCAAAGGTTATACGTCTCTAAGCATAACTTTGATTAAACGATGCTAATCGACGCAGAAGCGAATCGAGCCGTCCTTTTTCTTCACCAGCGCCACAGGGGAAAATCAGGGACTGCTGTACGGCTGAATGACGCCACGTTGAAGCGTGTCGGCCACTTGCTTGGTGGTAACACGACGCTCAACAGGAGATACACGGTACGACGCTGTCGCAGAGGCGATTGGGAGCCGGCGTTAACGTGATAGCCAATGGTGCGCGTTTAATTTAAGGACGCCTGCTGGCAATAGAACGAGCCGGGAAACAGGTGAAGAAGTGCTCAAAGCTTCTCGCGGTGGGCTTCTTCAAGTTCGCCATCAATTGAGGGGCCAAACAAATTAATGTTTTCATGAACAGTTGAACCGGCGGATGGCGTCAGAGCATTATGCTGCAAATCCTTTTCACCATGACGGTCGAAGATGGAGGAAACGTCTAAGTATTGAAATGTTCTGATACATTCTCCGCGACGCAAGGTTGTGGGAGACGGCAAGGGATTGTGACTAACAAATTGGCAGTACCCACCGAAAAATCTAGGACAGCAAACGGCAACGCGAGGCTCTTGCGACTTTGGAAAGTTTAGGAAGGCGTAAACAACACTACAGGCTTAGACACATCGGCACAAGACACGGGAACAAAGGCTGCGCTAGTTGATGGTATGTCAATGTCGTCGGCGACAAACAGCTGGTTTGACGCAAGGTTCAGAGACGAGGCACACAACGCAGAGAAGGCCACTTCAGCACGAGCACAGTCGATAACCACATGAATAAGAGACAGGAAATCCCAGCTGAGGATCACATCATGAGAACAGGCTTGTAGCACAAGAAGTTCAACGGTATACCAAGTATCTTGGATGAGAACGCGGGCGGTACAGGCAGCTGACGGTCGAATATGGTGAGCACTGGCAGTACAGAGGAACAATCCCTTTGGCGTAGTGGTAACCTTCCGAAGCAGGTGGCGAAGTTTTCAATCAATTATTGAAACCGCAGCACTAATGTCCTCAAGTGCAAGGATAGGGTAATCATTCACAAAAACGTCGATGAGGTTTGTCGGAGCAATGCGAGGTCTTAATTCTTTCGACGACGACGCAGTTCATGACTCGGGAACTGCGACATCTAGTTTTTCGCGTCTGAAGGGCAGAGTCGACGGTGCATAGGTGACAGGGAACGACGTCGGGGAGATGGAGATCAGTGACTGCTGAGGGGGGGGGGTGGTCGGGAGAAGAGGATTCTCAATGCACGTGCTGTGTCGTTGGAGCACCGAGAGGCGTGCGATGATCTTTGTATGGTGTCACTGTGAACGAGAGGGTGGCGGCGGGACAAGCGAGCCACATGTCCTGCGTAGACGCAAGAATAGCAAATCGGGCGGTTGTCTGCGGTGCGCCATGGATTCGGAAACGCCGTGGTTGGCCGGCCTAACGGAGCTGGTGATGGCCAAACAGGGACCAGTGAGGAAGCATAAGTGGGCTGTCGAGGTGCTCTGGCTGCGACAACTTGCCCATACGACAATGGTGCGGCCTCCAGAAGTGGTGAATGACCAAAAGGCAAAGCGTCAGCTACCTCATCCTGTATGACGTGCCTTATGGCTGGGGCCATATGATCTTGGGCGAGAAGATGCGCTTGTGCTGGTTCGGGCATGTTCAATAAAATGTAGAGCTGCCGAGCGACCTCCTCACGCACGAACTGCTTTATGCGATCCAGCATGTCATTCTGGTCTCCGAGAGTCAAGGCAACAATCGAGTCACGTTGTTCCCGAGAGCACCGTGTTTGGGCACGTTGCTTGTGCAATTCGTCAAAACTCGGGCACAAGCTGACGAGATCGGCTAAGGCTTGTGAGTCCTTGGCTAACAACATTTAAAATGCGCAATCGCATATGCCCTTGAGGATTTGTTTGATTTTGTCGGCTTCGAGCATCGCTGGGTTTATCCGCTTGCACAAGTCCACAACGTATTCAATGTAGCTGGTAAAGGTCTCTCCTGGCTGTTGAGCGTGCTCACAAAGTTGTTGTTCTGCGCGGAGTTTTCGCAAAACAGGGCGGTTGCAGACTTACGAAAAGTAGGTCTTGTACGAATCCCAGCTGGCTATGTCGGCTTCGTGATTGCGCAACCAGAGACTAGCAACGCCGGACGAGTAAAAGCTTACATAGGTCAGCTTAGCCACATCATGCCACTCGTTCACTGCACTCACCTTGTGGTAAGTAGCCAGCCACTCCTCAACGTCTTGGCCGTCAGATCGGAGGGTGACGCAGTGGCCACACGCCGGGACATGTAGAGGCGGAAACTTAGGAGGTACCTTGGATGGAGGGTTCTTCCGGCATTACTGGCACTGGAAGTAAAGTGTGACTTCGCAGTTGCAGCTTCGAAGACTACCCCAGCACTTCCACCAAATTGTAAGGGGGTTTATCAATAAAACCAACTGCCTGGTTTTAGGGGCGTCAGTTACAGTCATGAGCTCAGTTCTTCGTCGTAGTCGTCTTCTAGCTGCTCTAACTAGACACTGTGTCTCTCCCTCTTCCCCGCTACAATAAATAAATAAATAAATAAATAAATAAATAAATAATTATATATATATATATATATATATATATAGTCAAGTAGATCCTCCGTGAGCGGTCACAACGTGGTTTATTTCGACGTTTCGGCCTAGAGTCTCGCCTTCATCAGGATTAAAGGTACAGTTTGTTGGTGCTCAGCTTTATACAATCTCAAACAGAGGGAAAAAGGAAAAAAGACAGAAAACTATAAGGGTGACACCACCGGGTGCTCCCTTTCCACTCTTCTCTCCACTTCCCCCTTCATCTCTCTCCCCTTTCTCCCCTTCACCTTTCTGATGTCAGCGGTCTGAGTATGCTTCCTTTCACTAACGCATTCTTCCCGACCAGACCGCGCCCCCTGGCTCTGGCGGTTCGGTGTGGGGCAAAAAAGAGCCTTTTAGGAAGTTTTAAGCCTTTATCTACTCGCCGGACCATCAACATTTCGTCGTAGAAAGAGGGGTGCCGCGTATTGCAGCAGAGGCTAGTAAGCGGGCGCAATGCGAATTCCTTGCCCGCTTGCGGATTACGCGTGCAGTAGGGGCCTCCCGACTGTGCACAGGGTTGCTGTTGGGCATGTCATGCATGGCACAATTGATTGGGTAGTAAAATAAAACAGAAAACAGATGGCAGCTACTTAGGAACAGTAGTTACACTTAGAATTGTTTTGAGTTGTCCAGCGCCCTTCGCTGCTGCAGTGCCGTGAACTCAGTTACTATTTTCAGTATTGCCGTTATTGTTTTCCTAATGCTTTAATTGCTGCAAGTGTACCAGAATTCTCATTTATTCCTCTATCGAGGGTGTTAAATCGGTGGATAAGGTATGACCCTCGTTGTTCACGTTCTTGGTTTGATATAAATCTCATCTCTAAGATTGTTACTGATGGTTTGTCGAATGCATGGTCGGGAAGATTGACATGTTTTGATAGGGTTAGATTTGGGGCTGATTTCGCATGGGCTCTGTGAATACTGAAGCGAATCCTAAATGGTGTTTCTGTTTGTCCGATGTACTGCATACTACACACGTTGCATTCGAGTAGGTATACCACATTAGAGGAATCGCATGTTGGGTTTCCTCGTATGTTAATCGAGAACTTGGATTGTATGCTGGTTGTTTTGTGTGTTTCTCGCATTGCTTTACATACAAGACATCGTGACTTTAAACAAGGTCGGCATGAATTATTGAGGGGTGAGGTATTGATTTGAGAGTGGAGAAGTGTGTCTTTGAAATTGCGTGGTCGTCGGTAAACGACGCCTGGAGCGGATGGGAATGCGCGTTTCAGACGTTCACTTTGTTCCAGAATGTTGTATTATCATTTAAGGATTTTGATTACATTAGGGAGGTTTGTGCTGTAAGTCAAGCAGAGCTTTGTTTGTTGTGGGTATTCTTGCGATGGTCGCTTCATAAGTAAGTCATCACGCTTTATTTTTCTCGCTTTTTGAACAGCGTCATCAATAACATGTGAGAAGTATTCTTGTTTTTCAAGTATAAGTTTTAGACTCAGTGAGCTCGTGTGAAAATCAGCGTCTCTTGAGTAGATTCGCTTAAACCGGTGAGCCTGGCTGATGGGATACTGTTTTTACAGTGGTGCGGGTGATCGCTTTGGTAATGGATGTATCGTTGTCGATATCGTTATGGTTTGCGATATAGAATTGTCGAGAGCTTGTCCTCTTCAATCGTTATGGTGACATCAAGAAAATTTACAGTTACTTGAGAGTATGTGTGTGTGAAATGTATGTTCGGATGTACAGCATTGTAAGTGTCGATAAAGCTGAGAAGTTCGTACTCACTGTGGGTCCAAATAAGAAAGCTGTCGTCTATGTACCTTCTGTATAACAGTGGTTTTAAGGAACTTTGTGCAAAAAATTCCGATTCCAGCTTTCGCATAAATATTTTTGGCATATTTGGGGGCCATTTTGGTGCCCTTAGTGATCCGCTGATTTGTCAAAAATACTCTTGGTTAAACTCGAATTAATTTAATTTGAGGACCATCCTCGTCAAAGTTGCGATGGCAGTGAAATCTGGGGTGTTAGATTGTCTATGGTTTGAGTACATGTTTTGTAATGCAGCTATGCCGTCATCGTGAGGAATATTTGCATACAATGAAGAGACAGCAAGAATAACCAAGTACAAGTTTTAGGCACACACAGACCTGCAATGTCTCGAAGAAAATTTGTGGTGTCCTTTATGTACGACGCGAGGGTGCATAGAATGTGGCTTATTAGTTTGTCCACGTACCCTGATATGGGTTCAGTTATTGTACTGATGCCTGATATGAGTGGTCGACCTGGGTTACCAGGTTCGTGAATTTTTTGGAGGATGTAGAAGCGACCTGGAGGAGGGTATGCTGCTCGCATCAATTTGTGGTAAGTGTTGGTTATCTTTTCTGCATCCAGAGTTTCTTTAGTTCTGTTGATACGATATGTTTGCTCCATTCGTTCCGGCCGCTTGCCTCGTGACTGGAAAGTGGGACACATTGCTCCAGTGCACAAAAAGGGTGATAAAGATCTGGTGCCAAACTACCGTGCGGTTTCTATAACGTCTGGTCTTGCAAAGTGCTTGAACATATCATAGCTAAATTTATTATAACGTTTAATAATGAAAATAACATACTTTCGGATGTTCAACATGGTTTCAGGAAAGGGTTTTTTACAGAAACGCTGTTAATTTCTGTTGTGAACAGTTTTTCAAAATTTTAGATAAGGCAGGTCAAGTTGATGTCATCTTTTTGGATTTCACGAAGGCATTCGGTCTTGTTCCTCATGAAAAGCTTATTACAAAACTGGAATCGATTGGCCTTCCAGAATTTATAATTTCCTGGATTTCTTCCTATTTGTCTGACCACGTTCAGTTTGTAAGCATTGCCAGTAATTGCTCTGACCCGCTCCCTGTAACTTCTTGGGTTCCCCATGGGAGTGTACTTGAGCCTTTATTATTCTTAATTAATATTAATGACATTGTTGATACTGTTTTCTCGCCGGTCCAGATCAGACTGTTTCCTGATGATTGTGTGCTGTTCAATGAAATAACTTCCTATGACGACCAGGTCTTGCTAAACACTAACCTCGAAAATATCTTTGCATGGTGCGAGCAATGGTAGATGGGGTTAAACACAGACAAAACCGTCTTTATGCGAGTAACTAACAAAAAATATTTTGCCATTTACATATGAATCCGGTACTCAGACACTAACTGAGGTTGTTGAGTATAAGTACCTTGGTGTCACTCTAACCAGCGACCTCAGCTGGAATAAGCACATCTCTAATATTTGAGTGTCGTCTTTCTGTAAACTTGGTCTTTTGAGACACAAACTTAAGCATTCTCCTTTTACTGTAAAAAAACTAACTTATTTGACATATGCCTCAATTGTCTTGGACCCTTACACAAAAAGAAACATTGAGGCTCTCGAACTAATCCAACGCAAAGCGGTCCGTTTAATTTACTCCAAGTACCGAAGAACTGATTCACCCACAAAGCTTATAAAAGAAAACAGTATACCCACACTCGAGAAACGTCGTAAAATTCACATGCTCAAATTTTTTTTGTTTTAATTAACAACAAGCTGCCAGTAAACCGTGATTTATATCTCAAACCGCTTACGACAAGACAAACCCGGTATTGGCAAACTCATTCATTAACACCGTATTTTGCTAGAACAAACATTTTCAAATACTCGTTCTTTCCTTGAACCATAAACGACTGGGACTGCCTACCTCAATTGTTAACCGGCTGTGTAGAGGCACTTGAGCGTATTTGACCATGACGTATGTTTTTGTATCTTTTGTACATGATGTGTCCTTTTATTGTTTTTGTTGTTTTACACCTGTGTTTAATGTTATGATATTGCCCCTCTTGCTGGGGCCTTTATATGGGCCTGCAGTATTTTGTGAATAAAAATAAATAAATGTTCGTCTGCCAGATCACCTGAGAGGCATTCGTAAAATCTTGAGCCATCTAGTTGGCGGTATGCTTCTTGTAAGTACTTGGTTGTAATAAGGACTACAATTACTTCTTTTTGTCAGCGGGTTTTATTGTTATGTCTGTCCTAGATGACAGATTTCTCATACTCATTTTTTCAGATTTTCTCAAGTTTTCTCGGTTTCATTTTGTCTACTATATATTTCTGTACTGCGGTGATATAAAGGTCCAGGTACTTGTCTCGTTTACTGTTCGGTGTCCAATAATTTGTTTTGCGACGGTAAATTGTTTCGTAGTTAGAAGGCCTGTCCAAGAAATGTTCGCGCAACCTTAAGCTTCTAGCGAAGTGGTCGAGGTCTCGGAGCAAATGGAATTCGTCGAAAAATTTTGTAGTCGGGCAGAAGCTTAGTTCTTTAGATAGCTGTTTTTCTTCGTCAGGTGACAAGCTCGTGTCTGATAGGTTTACAACCACAGTGTCACAGGGCGGGCTCATAGATGGGCGCTCGTATGTACCGTTAGTGGTTTTCTGGGTGGTGGTGTTGAAGTGATAAGAAACTATATCAGGGAACGCGGGGTTCGGCACATGGTCTCTTGAGAGTTTATGAATTTTTGTGGTCATGATGGCTTGGCATTTATTCTGTTCAAATTCTGTTAATCTGGTGATTTCTTCGTTCGATAAAGTGTTGTGGCGGAGAATGGTGTTGGTCATAGCGACCAGTTTTTTTACCTGCTTATCACTGTGATAAGAGTGATTTCTATTAATTTAAGAGATGCCTCATGTAGGACAATTTTCCATGTTATTTGGTCGTGTTCGTCTAG